GGCCCGCTGTTCTTATTTCTATTTGCCTGGGCTCATTAATCTTAAGAATCTAAAGCAATGAATGGGCTGTACATGTTCAGTTTCTACTATCTGTGCTGGCTCTGGAAAGAATACTTGTAACAATACTTACAAGTCCATGCATGGGAGAGCTATGTCTACATTATTTTGTTTTAGGAACTATCTCACCATAACAGGATCTAGGAGGCCCCTGCTGCCATTTTCCAGCATGGGGACACTGGCACACATAACGCTCCAGGTGCTTTAATCAGAGTGGTTCTTGGAGGCGCTCTAATTAAAGCAGCTCTGCCCCCCCCGGCGCACATGTATAAATGCCCGTAGTGAGTGGGATTTGACAGCATTGTGATACAATAACAATGTCAGGTCTAAAGAAGTACTCCCACGGTGGTGTTATACTGCTGCTAATGTAAACAGGAGAGATGTTAAGGGAAAAGATAATATAGATGAGGTCTTCAGGATAACATACAAATAGTCTGGAACACAACTACCAATAGCTCCAATGGAACAAGTATGTACAGCAATCCAGATAGATCACACGGTCACAAAAGAACCCTCCACCTGAAACGTTGCATGTTCTTAACGTGGACTAAACAAATGTGATTTAGAAAGGCTATTGCCCAGAAGCAATGAAGAAAACACCAACGGAATAGTTCATTATTCTCTAGGTGTTGGGCTTTAAGTAAAATGTCTTTTTTTCCTACATTGACTATATAAATATCTTAAAGCAACCACCTCTGAAAACGTTAGCAGGTAACTTTCAGTGACTCTTATTCTTGCGTGGTCACTTTTCACTATGTCCTAAAATAAATATATAAATAAAATATTTATTTAATCGGATCCCTGAATATTTCCATCAAGTATCTGAATTATTCTTAGCTTTGTACTTACTGGGGACCCAGAGGCTTTAGTACAGGGGCGGGCAATTATTTTGAGCAAAGGGCTGCTCACTGAGTTTTGGCAAGCCATCGAGGGCCGCATGAGAGGCAGATAAATATTAATTTTCTAAATTTTTTAGGTGCCCCGCAGGCCAGATAGAATGGCCTGGTGGGCCACATCCAGCCCCTGGGCCGCATTTTGCCCACCCCTGCTTTAGTAGGATTTGGGTCAGGTGCTTAAGTTGAAAATGGCCACCAATATCAGTTGTATGTTAAAGACTAATTGAGTAGTGGCAGACTCCCAGGTTTGGTTCCTGTTCCTGGCACTGAACTGATGGATAACATTGTGCAAATCACTTTCCTGTGCTCTTATGTATCATTTTGTCCATCCATAAATGCAGACAACAGAAGTGGCTTGTTTTGTAAAATGCTTTAAAAACTTTGTATGAAAAGTACTTTATGGGATCACATTACTGTGCAAACAACTGCTTTTCTATCACATATTGCTCTATACTTTTGGAGCAATAGATCTCTTTCATCTTTTTTTGGTGGGGGAGGGGGGCAGAAGCTTTATTTAAAAGTGTTAACAGCCTAAGGCAGAGGGATCCTTATTTATTCTGAAGCAGTGAGAAGCACTGAAGGGGTGTGATTTTGGATGCTGGCTGTTGGAATGAGATCAAAAGCTCTTTTGGGGCCTGTAAGCACAACCCAAGTCAAAAACATTTAGGTTCTGAAAACCCATTTGTAGAGGAGGAATCAGTATTACTATGGGATAATGATCTGACTTTTTACCTTTGAACAGTCTGAATGACAGTGGGGTTGTTACATTCCTAGGTCCTGACCAGCCATCAGTTATTTTACTGGCTTCTGGGTCAGGCCCCTAGTCACTACTGAAGGTAAACTTTTTTCTACACTCTGAACCACCACATAGTTGGCAGTTGTACTACAGGTAAGATCCAGGCTAAATAGTCAGGGAAGCTTGTGCAGAATTATTGCTGAGTGCCAAACTAAGTGTTCTAGACTTGGCTCTGGCTGGCACATGACTTTGCTTTCAGGTTTGCTTACTTTATTGTTTTTTAAACAAAGGTTACTTTTTATTTTACTCCATTGCTAATATTTTCAAAGTGGGGTGCACAGGATTTTGGGGTCCACAGGATTATGACAGCCTTTTATTTATTTTCTGTGTTTCACATGCACCTCATTTTCCTTCCACTAGGTCTAAATTCAGTGCTGCTATGAATTGGGCCATACATTTAGAGTAATACATAAAAATTGTTGTGTTAATTAGCTCACTCTTCTGTTTGCACCCCACCCTTCACCCGATAAAATACAATGAAGCCTTTCTATAGCAGACACAGATGAAAAAGCCAGTTTCCTTCTTTGTCGCTGATAAGTGTATGTGCACCAGGCTCTGAGTGACAATAAGATACTGACTGATGGTCTTCTGTACTATTAAAAGAAACAAGAGCAGGAGACCTGGGAGATAGTAAGTAGCATGCTTCTACTTTAAGCACAGGGGCTTAGTTGCAAAGCTAGTAGCATACAACGGTTTCTGAAGAGTCAGAGATCATGCAGATACATCCAACCGTCTCTAAAAGATAATTATATAATGAACTGTTCTTTCTTGAAGCTGACTCGCTAACTCACAAATGTACATAACTAGGCAATGAAAGTAATGAATTGGGAATCCTCAACTGAATCCTAAATCCCATAGGATAGGAAGAAGCCTGGACTATTGGACAGATAACTGTGGATGAGGCTCATACTCCAAAGCCTGATTCAAAGCCTATCAAAATCAAGGGAAATTTCCACAGTAATTGAGAATCTTATCCAAAGTACAGTGAAAGCAGCAAAAATAAACAAAAAAACCTCCATGTGAACAAATATGAGTGAGTCCTAAAGGTTTGTTAAATACAGTCAGCCAGTGTATTGGGAAGGAATAGATTTCAGAAAGATTTCATGAACAATGGGGGAGAAATCTTGAATTACTCAAGAAAAAGCACCTACCTGCTTCTTCCCTCACTACTGTGCTGTTCACTAACGAAGGATTCAGTCATGCCCCTGGGGCCTTCTTTCTATTTCTGCAGAAGGCACCTACTACTTTCGATTCTCAGGAGAACTCTCTGGAGAAATAGCAGGAATAGGGAGAGATGATGAGCACTAGCTCTGCACATATATAGCTGGGAGGACTTCCAGGCTTGGGAGCCACGATTCCAAAAAGTCCTGGTGGTGGAAGTCACCTGGAAGCACAAGTCCACTGTTAAGGATGATCTGCTGGGTTGGTCCTCCCCTCAGCAGGACACTTGCTTGCTCTTCAGGGGACTGGATGAATAAAGAGAAAGCTCTAGGGGGGGTTCCCCTGCAGAAACTTCTGTCCCTAGCCAGGCACTGTTGTAAAAGGGCCAATCTAGCCCTGCAGTAAGCGCAATCTCCAGTCAAGTGTAAATGCCATGCGTTCATTTATTTCTACAAATTGATGCTCTCTTGTTACCCCTTAGCAGGGGAAATTCTGTTGGCTCCAGGAATAAGATTCAGTGGTGTCTGAAAGGGCAGACTGACTGCTTGAAAGCTCAAGAACTATAAGCCTTGTGCTATGGTAAACAGGCGGCTGGTTGTGCACAAAGACCTTATGGCTCTCTCACAAAATCAGAGCTAATGCACATACTGAGCTGGGGCTCAGACCCTGGGACAGTACCAGCACACATTCCATCCCTCCAGCTGGGACCACCATCATGGGAAAACATTCTTCAGAGGTGCCCTGGTGCTTTAAGGAGGCGTGCAGGTCTTGGGACAGCGTGGGAGTAAGGATGAAGAGCAAATTTTGTTTTTTCTTGCTGATACTGAACATAGCTGAAGGATTAGGCACTCAAGATTCTGGCACATATGTTGACCTCCCCTATGAGAAGATGCAGCCCTACCTCACCCAGGGAACACATCTACAGCCTGGGTTTTCCTTGGTAGAGACTCTGTGACTCCTTCAAGAAAAAGCACCAAATATCAAAAGAATCACACAGTAAATGCATAAGAATCATCAATACTGATGCACTTCTATATCACATGAGAGTTGATATGTATTATTTTAAGTCAGTTCCTTACTGCATTAAATCAATGCAAGTTGTTTGGCAACTGTATTAAAAAGGAGGCTTTAAGTTAGTTAAATTTGTGCACCTGCGTTCAGAAAAGGCCTAACAACGCACTAGCCTAAATTTTCTAAGCCTGGCCTAATTTCTTAGTGCCTTGTGCAGATATTTACACCAATACAAGATGAATGAAAATATAATATGCTACCAAATCAGAACAGCAATGGTCTGCCCTTGTTTTGTATTGGCGTGAATGACCGCAGCAGAACTACAGCAGCAGAAAAGGAGAGCCTGAGGGTACTGTTTACAGGATCTGCTACAATGCTGGATTTCTTGTATCTTCTGCTCCCTCTAATGTCTACACTGCAGAACAGCAGAAAAATTTTCTAGATAAAATATCTCATAGGATATCTCCTTGCAAAATCCATATGGCTTTATCTATACAGATATTGCTGAAGTTAAACAACTCGCCTTAGTGTGGACAAGTTATACTGATATGCTTCATAATGGAAATGAAAAAAGCTTCTCAGGCACTAAATCCTTTACACAAGACTTGCTATGATCATACTAGAGTCTCTACGTGTTTAAATTGTTTAGTAATTAAAAAAAAAAAAAATCACACCACTCTCTACCACATATATCTAAAACTATACTCCACCTTAAATTTCAGCAGCAGCACAGTCAGCTCCTGTTCTCTCTTGAAAATGTGAAGTAGGTGCACTTCTAAAAGCTCTAAAACTGGTAGCCAGATATAAAAAAATTAAAATGTATTAAACAAAAATGTCATAAACCAGTCTTCTGATTTGGAAAACTAGACTTATTTGTTTGCCTGTTTGGATTAGCAATACCATACTAACAGGACGTGTCTACATTAAATTGTTGTGGTGATTTAACAGAAAGTATGACTTTAAGGCGATTTACCTAGAACTATTTAAATCCTTGTGGAATGTGTTTATTTTTGGTTTAAGAATATTTTACTGATTAATCTTACTTGTTTCCAATTAATTCAAGGGAGGTAAGGCCAGCATCTCACATTGCTATCATAAGAAACTCCCAGAAATTGCTTCCAAACACAAATATTAGTTTGCACAATCCAAGGAAATGTGTTTCAACCTCACAGCTCAGCCAAAGTCCAAAGATGGATCCTACAGTTCCCACAGGAAATGGGATACAACCAGAACTCTTTATCTAGTAGTGAGGGGGCTTTGCAGCAATTACAGCTTCCCAGGACTATTGTGAATTTACAGTAGCAACCAAGAGACCATCAAGTCTGTGCAAGGGGAACAAATGATTTGCTGTAGGGCTCACACACCAGATGGAAGACAACTGGGTAGATGCTTGTAGCAAACACTAATGAAGCACAAAGCGTATGGAAGGATGGAAAGGTAAGCTGGATTTCTGCAGACTTGATAGGATTAATTCAAGGGTAACAAGTAGGCCTGTGCAAAGCGGCTAGTATTTGCTTTGGATTCGGCTGACTCGGGGGGCAGTGATTCAAATCACTGTCCCGAAGCAATTTGGCCGAATCTGATTCAGAGATTTGTATGCCACCAGATCGGCTGAATCTTCAAATCTAACAGGCCTCATCCCCCGCCTGCTCTCCCAGTCACGTCAATGGCTGCCCCACCCAGCCCCAGTGTCCCAACACTTCAGAAAAAAGCCCTGCACTAGCCGGCTACTGCCAGGCAAGGGGGCAATCCCTGCTGCCCCGCGTAGCATGGGAGGGCTCTGCCACAAGCCCCCAGAGGCCCTAGTGGCTGCTGCAGCAGCCACTGAGTGCGTTTTTTTTTTGTTTTGTTTTTTTTAAGTGCTAGGACACTGGGGCTGGGCAGGGCAGCTATTGACAGGGCTGGGAGAGTGGGTTGGGGTTGGGGAGGCTGGGGGAGCAGGCAGGGGACGGGGCCTGGTGGGGGTCTCCCCATGGTCCCCTACTACTTACCAGCACAAAGCCCGAGTCCAGCTCCCTGCAGTGGCGAGCAGGGACTGCCCAAATCTCTGAATTGATTCAGACCTTTTAATTGGTCTCCCGATTCGATTTGGAAATTCAGCCACCGAATCTGGCTGAATCTCCTCCAAATCGAATCAGCAACCGAAGTTTCACACAGCCCTAGTAACAAGCACTGATTATAGGATTCTTCATTTCAGGTGTCTGTGACCACCTCTCGTATAAACAGGGCAGCACCTGTTTTTGGCCCTTCAGAGGGGCTCCTGTGAGGATGTCACACGAAGGAATTACAAGTTTTGGTTTCCTGGGGCAAGGAGCTAGTTTCCCCTCATGTACTGGATGATTCGAGAGAAGCAGATGCAAAAGTGCAATGGCAAAACTAGTTTCCCCATCCCTACTGCTTGCAATATGGAAAAAGACATGGAAAGAACATTTCCTTTGTTGGTGGCCATTGACACATGCACATTATCTCCCTCTTTTTCTCCTCCCTGCAATAGGTTTCATTCTCCCAAAGGATTCTGGATTTCCTGTAAATTCAGTAATGGGGGGGAAATGGGCTATGGGGGGAGGGGAGTGTGAGTGCTTAACACTAAAGCAGGACTGAAGCAGCAAGTCCAAGCTTGTGGGTGGCCAGGTGTCTCATCCACAGGCACATCTCCCAACAGAACTGTGACTTCCCCAAACCCCCTGTGACACCAGTTGACCTCTCAAAGACAGACTGGGGTTAAATAACAGAAAAGGTTTTGTAACAACCCCCTATTGTTTCCTGTTTCGCTTCCCTTGAGCAGGATGTCTGATTCCACAGTTTGAGCTGATCACTTGCATGAAAAACGGAGATCATATCCCAGCAAGCACAGGACAGTAAGGCCCAGAGTTACAACTACAGGTGAGGAAGGTAAGTTAAAAACCATGTATAAATGGAAAAAAAAGCCAAAGTCCCACTGAGCTATGCAGACCTCCTATGTTTGAGCTTCAAAGTCTATACCATTAGACAGCTGTTCTCTCCTATCCATCACAGATCTCCCTGAAAGCGAGCAGATATCCCCATACTTGCCTATTCTACGACTGCACAGATGGGAGGTTGGGGCTCCAATGGTCTTTCCCTGCAGATAACATTTAAAAGAAATTAGCTCCTGAGTTTCAGTCTTAACAAACAAAATCAAACTTTGTGACAAACTCTGCAGCTTCTTTTCTCCCAAGCCCAGATTCTCTTTATTCCAGCAGACGTTCAGCTCCTGAGTGAGTGCACAAGATCTTCAGCTGGAAAGCTCTGAAAGAGAACCAGCTGGGACATCTGTAGTGGAGCCAAGGCAAAACACTTCCTAGTGTCATGAAAAGGAAAAGAGCTTTTGAGAGTAGGAATCCAGAAAAGCAGCTGGGTAAATCTGCTCCCTATGGATGAAACTTCAAGAGCCTCAAAGACTCAGCTGTCCCCTGGGCAGCTTTCGTCAAAGAAGTCAGACAGTTTTAAGACAAGATGCAGAGAAGCTCAGGCATTGCTAAGCACCCAAAAGCTCAAATGGGAAAGAAATCTTATGCATGTAACACATGTAGGAAACACTTTGTCTTGAGCGCCACCCTCACCACCCACCCATGAATGCACTTGAGTAAGTGGCTATGCATGCCTGGTCAGGAGGGGCACCAGCCAGAGCTCAAATCTAGCATGACACCACCACACCCACAGCCAGGAGCACCTCTATGCGTGCCGTGTGTGGGGGAAGAACTTCCACTTCACCTCCCACCTCAAATACTGATGTGCCCACAGCAAGCCCTACCCCTGCCATGACTGCCTGCAAGGCTTGACCAGGCACTCCCACACCTACACAGGGGAGAGGTGCTACCTGTGTGATTGAAGGTGGAGTTTCTAACTGCACTGCACACACATGCACATGGGGCCTTACTTGACATCCTACGAGAAACAAACAAATCCAAGCCTTGTTAACTGAATTTGGTGGGGAAACTACTAGGAACAGGAAAGAAGGTAACTGGGAGGTACTGGTTGCTTGGTATGTGATTTTAAGGTGTAGAAGGCATGAGGTGCTAAACTGAGGGATATTTCATAATCTACAGGAATATGAAGGAATGAAAATACCCAGGACAGAGGAATGGTTTAGACCTGACCAAAGGCTGCATACAAGAATAGCAGGATGCAACTAAAAAGTAAATATTTGCTTTAAAAATTCTTGAAGGTATTTTGTTATCGGGCAGCTGAACAGATACCCCCCAAGCAGCATGCTTATCATAGGACTTGTGCAATTTGTGTGCATGTTTTTGATATTACATTGCAAAACCAAGCCTGCACCTAGACGGAGATGGATCAGATCACTTAATGCATCTTTTCCAATCCTGTTGCCTCCAATTTAACAAAAGGAAGGAGAGAAGGCACAACTGATAAGGATATAGTACCAAAGGAAGGTGAGTTTATTTTAATCTCAGGGTTAATTAGCCACTCAACCTATTCCAATATATTTATCTGTTGATGCTGAAACCATGATTCCTGCATTCCTTTTTTATAAAATAATATTACATATTTGCCACTTATTTAAATAGTTTATGAATCCATTCATCCTACATTGGTGCCATTCTTGTAAAGCTATGTGATATCAGATCTGGATAGTATGCAAACAGATCTCCTGACTATCTTCACACAAGACAAGTAAAAAATGATTGTTTGCCAATTTTAAGCCTGCATCAACCAAAGTAGTACAAACTCGCTGCAGAAAAGATTAAAAACTTGCATGTGTTGATGTCTTACATTCAGTCTAGAGAATTACTTATCAATTAAATCATTTGTGATGTGAAAAAAAAAGGAATTCTTTAAGTGGAAAAAATTACAAGATGATATGCATCCCCTAGGGTATGTAAAAGACTCTTCAGATAAACTGTAGAAATTGAGAGAAAATGACAGAGAAACAGACTGGTTCACGGATATCATTTTGTTATTCAATTCAGTTAGAGTTCTGCACTCTGAAATGCTTCTACTGCTTTCTGCTGTGATTTACAATTAAAAGGTAGCTGCTTATGTTAACTTTTCCCCCAGCCATCAATAACACACCAAATGTACTTATGAACAGAAACTCTCCCGTTTTATTAGAGAAGCCCTGACAAAAAGATGGTCAACTATGGAAGGTACCTGTATATTCATGTCACTGCCTTCTTAAAGCTGGATCTTTTAGGAGTGCCACTAACAAACAGCCATTTTTTTAAAGTTAATTGCTTAGTTCACTTTTTACAAGATATGTACTGAGGCTGAAAGCCATTGGAAAGCTACAAAACTGTGTGATGACAGCAACAGAACAAGCCTAGACAGGACTAAATCCGTGAGTTTCAGTCCTGCTTATTCTTTTAGTCCTGATAAACTGGTATTTGTCATTTCTTTCAATTCAATTCTTCAAACAGGGAGCATAAAGACCTAAGCAGGACTGAAACTAATAGATTTAACACCTGGATTTGTTTTGGTACTGTCTAAAAATAAGCAAGCTTACTGGGGATGGATGCTATTAGTTTAATTTCAAAAAATAAAAGTCTATTTCAAAGGATGCACTGCTTTAACCCTAGGTCTTTTCCTAACATTTTAAAATGAAAAACAAAAGTTTTAAATTTATTATTCTGCCACTTTCCTTTAAAATTAATATACAAACTGTAATTTTCTTCAGTGCCTATCAAGTGAGCTCCACCAGTATTGTGATGGAAAAAAACTACGCAAGCATGTGACATTTAGAACAGCTGAACCCTATACTGGTGCAAAATTGCTCTATGATAAAGCATACCGTTACTCTTTTCTTACCAGAAATGTGTAAGAGGACTACTCATCAGGGTTTACCCAATCTCTTCTCCATACTCAAAGATTTATAGATGGCAGGAAGAAGGCAAATTCTTTCCTAGAGAACATGGCACTTTGCTTAAAGACCTTTTGTGGCTACGATGGGGAAAACAAAGTTTCAGGAGAAAATTTAACAAAAAAACTTTGCACCAATGGTTTGAATCTTGACATTTACAGATATTTGGAGTTTTAAGTTGCAAGTTATGAAACTATTAAAAGGTATTTCCTACCCTGACGTAAATTAAAGTACAACATTTTTTTCTGCTTCTTCTCCATATGCAGCCTGCAAAGCACATTTAAGAAGTAAGGGAGTGACAGTATTTTTGAAAATACCTTTGCTGACCCTGCTTTCCCCTAAGGCAGATATATCAGAATCTTTCGAATTTGCCTCGCCTTACTTACATTACTGTAACACCCAGGGCATAGAGAGCATACTTTCATTCTCCCATTCTGAAATACTCTCGAAACTTGTTTCTAATTTACAATTTCTGAGTTGATCCTGCATCCTGAACAGCCTGGATTTCCGGTCGCTGGGAGAAGACAGCTGACAGAGCAGGAAACTGAAAAAAGCAAAAGGGGAAGATTTAAAAAAAAACCCATAAAATGGAGGAAAAAAATTAGCACAAAGGAGCAACATGGAAAGAATAAAACAAACTTTAAAAAATTAATTTGTTGTGGTCCTTGTGTTAAAATTTCAATTCTACTGAACTAAAAATACGGACATCCATGATATGCCATCAGTTTTTACGCTTCCCAATGGGAACATAAAACCAGTTAAGAAACTTTATTTATCTAGCTAAGGCAATTAAAACCTTTTAGAAGAAGCTAAACTATTACTGATTTGGATTTTGTTTCAGGCAGCAAATGTTTTGTTGAGAAGGGGTACTAAAACCAGAAGCATCAGGATGTAAACAGACAGCAACTTATATTGCTTATTTTAATAAGAGAAGTGAAGTACAAAAAGATAAACTCTACTTATATGGCATTGTTGCATAACAGGACTGTAGACGATTCCCAGCATGTCTGGTCCCTCTCAAAGAACATTATAGTTCACGACAAAATGGATCTAAAAACTACTGAAAAAGTGTTACATTATAATGTAGTATGACAACTCTGGCCTAGAACTTCTCATCTGATGCATCTGTCTGCTTGTATATCACAAGAGTACTATTCAGCCAAATAAAAAATACCAAGTCAGCTTAGGGCTTATTTTGTACCTCAGTGCATCCACCGCACAGAAAATTCTGCTGAAAGTGTCAAAGGATTCTTTTATTGCTGTTTTGCTAACTGTGAATGTCCTGTTAAACAGAACTCAGTTCTACCACCCACTACAGAGTAAAATTTCTGATGCAATTCTTTACATTTAAAATGTGAAAGTTTTCACTCCAAATGTAATAGTAAATGTTTGGCCTTGAAATGCAAAGTCATGAATATGCAACAGAAAACCCAAAACAAGCATCTTTCTAAACAGATCTTTAAAGTGCAAAACGTGTTTTCACACAATGGCAGAAAAACATAATCAGTCTGTAAATACCATTTGAGTTCAATTATAAAAAAAAACAAGGACTGTGCAGATGAACATGCTCAGACTATGGAAACAAGTGCTCTTTTCTCTGCTGTAGGTAACTGTGTAACAATAAGTGATAAGTAAACATTTAATGTAGGTCCTATAATAGTGTTGCTAAAATGATTTAAAGCTTAGAAGAATTTAGCAGGAAGCAATGTATTCTGATGAATTATGCTTTGCTAAAGAAGTTTCTCTTATTCTTTTTGTTTAATTTTAAGAGATAGGTTGTGGATTTTCTAGAGTGCTAAATGTCATCTTAATGCTGTTAAAGATGATTGACATCGTAGGTCATATTAAAATGTGAAATTAACTCATTTAGTAGCGACTATTTATGACATTTCACATTTTCCTCTGTGACAGGCTAGCTGACCAAAGACAAGTCATTAATAGTAATCCTGACTTGGCCAGAAAACAACAGAGAATTAGAATTTATTCTAGCAACAAATTTTAGATTCTGAAAAGGTTAGTTTAAAAAAAAAAAAGCTCTCAGTTTTGATGCAAATTGGTGTTTTAGAAATAAAAAAAATCCAATCAATTTAACATGAATTAGAAATTTGATTAACTTGCCTTAATGTTGTTGTATTTAACCAAAAATAAAGACCTGCCATTTTAAAATATTGTTTCATACAATGCAATGCGTTGGTGGATGCCAACAACAGCTCCTATTATGATTTATTAGGAGAAAAAAAAGTCTCAGACACTATTTTCTAGCTATTTACAGTGTGTAAAAACAAACTGCACTTGACAAGTTAAAATCCTGTTATTTTCTCTTTCCTCAACCAATTGCTTGTACTAGTATAAGCAAATAAGATTCCATGTTGTGCAGGTATATTGCTTCCATTAATCCCCCACACAAAACCTTTCGATTTACCTCAAGAGATTTCAACTTAATTTACTTCTTGTACATAAAGAAGTGCCCCTTTTTTCCACCCCCATAACAGCAGTTTGGCTGACTAAGAGCCTAAGAAATCTACCTGACAAGGCATCCTACCCACTGAAAACGAAGTAAATAAGGATGGACACAATCTGGAACACAACACTGATTGTACGGAGCATCAGGAGCCTTCTTAAGAGTTATCTGGTAATGCCAGAGAAAAGCGTTTGCATTGCACCTTTAGTCTGTAGATTTCCACTTGGCAACGTTCTCTGGAATAACACTGGTGCGACACAGCACTTTGAGCAGATAAAAATTAAATTAGTCTGTCTTCCCTGTCCTTGGTGGGAAGAGGAGCAAGCAGTTTCCATTTTGGTGACCATTACTGCTCTTCCTCCTGTTGCTGCTGTGCATCAGGCTGATGAGGTTGCTCGGGGCCATCCTCTTGGTGCTGCTGTTTCTGTTCCTGCCTCTTCTTTTCAGCCAGTGCTTTGGCCCTGGTAGTCATGGCTCGGGGCCTCATACCAGGCCTCTCTTCCTCCTGCTGGTGCTTTTTACAGTGTTTCTCAAAGGTGGACATTTTGGCATAAGTTCGATTGCAAACCAAGCAGTGGTAGGGCCGCTCCCCACTGTGGGTTTTCATGTGCAGCTGGAGGTAGGAGGACCTGGAGAAAGCCCGGCCACAGACAGAGCAGCGGTGAGGCTCTCGCGCTTCGTGTGTCTTCAGGTGCTGCTTGAGGGAAGATGCCTGCTTAAAGGCCTTCCCGCAGGTGGCGCACTTAAAATTCCTCTCCCCCGACTCAAGCAGCTGGTGCGACACGAGGTGCGCAGAGGAGCGGAAGTTCTTGCCGCACTTGTCACAGCGGTAGGGCCGCTCCCCAGTGTGCAGGCGGATGTGCAGGATGAGCCCCGCCTTCTGTGTGAAGGCCTTCTCGCACTGCGTGCACTTGAACGGCCGCTCACCTGTGTGCACGCGCTTGTGGGTCTTGAGGTGTGAGGCCCGGCCGAAGTGCTTGCCGCAGTCCTCGCACTTGAAGGGCTTCTCCCCGGTGTGGATGGCCTTGTGCCGCACCAGGTGCGAGGACTGCAGGAAGAGCTTCCCACACACGCCGCATTTGTACTTGCGCTCGCCCGTGTGTGAGCGCAGATGCAGGGCCAGGTGCGAGGAGGAGATGAAGGTCTTGCCGCACAGCGGGCAGGCATGCGGGCGCTCGCCCGTGTGGATGCGCTTGTGCAGCACCAGGCCCGAGGACAGGGCGAAGGTCTTGCCGCACACGGGGCAGGGGTAGGGCTTCTCCCCGGTGTGCACACGCTGGTGCTTCACCAGCGCCGCGGCCTGCGCGAAGGCCTTGCCGCAGAGCGCGCAGCGGTGCGGCCGCTCGGCCGCGTGCGACATCTCGTGCAGCTCCAGCTCCGGCAGCCGCGCGAACGAGCGCCCACACTCGGCGCACTTGAACGGGCGGCTCAGCAGCGCCGCGGGGCTCGGGGGGCCGCCGCCGCCCGCCAGGCCCAGCGCCGAGCTACCCGGCACCATGGTGGGCA